AGTGGCCTGAATGGTGTAGGAACTTTCCAGTTTATTGGCTAGACCATCCCAGGTTTGATTCTTCATCACTATTCAGTTGTTTGATGTCAACTGGAGATGTAATTTAGTAACTACAGTTGACTTTAGTAACTTTTGATTTGGAACTGAAAGAAACTCTCCCCTGGTTACCATTTAACTACTCTCATTACAGAGCGTACGTAGGCATTGTTTTAAGACATGATCAGGCTTGGTTGTGATTTTTTTGTAGTTAAGTAGCCCACCCATACTCACTATCTAGAGTCACAAATGAACAGTGACTGCTTGGGTGAAAGATTGGACATTTTCCAAAGCCCACAGATCTATACTACAAGATGAATTGGTGCACTAAGGAGCAGAGGAAAGCAAGTTGAGAAGGAAAATTTTCAGAGACCATGCATGGCTGAATAAATAATGAGTCGATAGCCGTCAGCCACTCTTACGCAGGTGCCTGTGATAGCAGACTTCTCCCCACCGCCAAGTAATTTCCCTGGGATTTTTCCTCCTCCTTCTGTTCAAACATGTAAACCTTGTTTCAATACATGCCTGAAGAATATACAGCATATTGTAAATTACTAATTGAGCCTGATAATGGAATATTACCAAAAGTAGTTTCATCTGCATCACATGCTGCATCATTAAGGAACTCCACTGTTAAATATCTGAAACGATGCCTTTCTATTCACATTTATTTTGAAGGAATTTTTATCTGCACAGCGCAAGTAACCTTTGTTAATCTACAGTCACATCGCTACATTTTGCTGTCTTGTGGTGCACATAATGAATATAATTACTCATTTTTCCCATTTTCTTTGATAATGCATGTTTTTTTTTAAGAAAAATCTGCTTTGATGATTTGTCATAGTTGTTTTTTTCCATTGTGTTCGGAATTGTGCTGTGCCATGCCTATTTCATCATAAAATGAGGATTTAAAATGGGTTTTATTTCCTTCATTATGGTCTTGAGAAGGTGATGCTGCAGGCAACAGTGAGAAGTAACCAAGCCAGGTTCCAAAACTAACCAAGCTAGATCCTGTTCTCTCAAGAGTTGCATGCAAGCACATTTTCCAGCTGAGGTCACTGGATAATTATCAGACACTGGAACCTTGAGTGGTTTTTGGCACAGTCACTCAAGCACAGACTTGGTATTTCTCAACTGAATGGGAGGTTTTCATCAGTGACGGAGTGGTCATTGGGCCAGTCCAACACACTTGCTGGTATTTTTAATTCTTTCATGGAGTGTGGCTGTTGCTGGCTAGGCAAGCATTTATTCACCATGTAATTGTCCTTGAGAAGGTGGTGGTGAGCCTGCAGCACTCCATCTGGTTTGGGTACACCCACAATGCTGTTGAGAGATTTTTAGGATATTGACCCACCAACAGTGTAGGATGAATGGTATCGTTCCAAATCAGGGTGATGTGAGATTTGAAGGGGAGCTTGCAACTGGTGGTCTTCCCATGTGCCTGCTGCCTTTGTCGTTCTAGATCAAGTGTGTTTCTATCATGAAATTTGCCACAGCCCCTTGGTGGGATCTGAGAGTGTGAGGACTAGTTGTAGGGTAGACGATGAGAGACCTGTAAGAGCAGATGTGGGTGGAGAACTGAGTGCAGGATGGAAGTCAGCAAGAGCAGGGAGAAGTAATTGTGGAAGGACAGATGCCTGTTAAAAGAGCAGCGCAGCTCCATGGAAACTATTGTTGCCTCCAGAATTCAGGGCCCCAAACTTTCTGTTCTCAACTTGGGAAACTGTTCTAGGTAGTAAGGGTCACTGGTTTGATAGGTGCTATTGATGGAGCCTTGGTGAGTTGCTGCAGTGCATCTTGTAGATGGTACACACTGCTGCAACTCTGCATCAGTGATGAAGGTAATGGATGGGATGCTAATCAAGCCGGCTGTTTCACGGTGTTGTTGGTGAGCGCCCAAAAATAGATTAACCTCTTCCTTTTCCCTATGCATAGAAACAGCCTATGGGAGGAAAATAATGTGAAAAAAGAGATAAATATGTGGAAATAAAACTATTGAAATTGAATTAAATCCAAGTAGGTTAAGAGAAGACATGACATTGAGCAAACTAAACCAGGATGATCCCTGTTGCTCAGCCATAATGCTTACAGCAGGACAAGATAATACTGGCTGATTTCAGGCTTGCTTCATTCTGGCATGGCCAACCTTGCCACATCGTTATCCATTCCCAAGTAACCATGTTATCCCTGAGCATGATGAACAATTCTGCCAATTCCCAAAGCCTATCAGGAAAGCTCTAGGACACCACTGTGATTGGAGCAGTGCAGCCTATCATGATCGGCCTTTCTTCTACACATAGATACATTTGCTACTGACAGAAACATGACCAATTTATTGTATATCCATGCCCTCTGCCACTTATTGTAGAGGTCAGCCACTGTCTGCAAAAAGAAATACCTGCCAGCAGCTAACCTACTCCTATGCTTTCATAACTTCTAATTATATCCCTTGCTTCACCCTCATCTATCAAGCTTAATTGGCCTATTCACTTACAGCAAATCTAATCCTTTCATTATTTAAAAGACCCTAATAATATCTCTTCAAAGTCTACATTTTTCTGAAGTATAAAGCCCCAGCTCTCTTGTCAGTCCTGGTAACTGAAGGCCCTTTAAAATGTAATCTAGTGACCTTCCCCTGAACCTCTTCTGGACCAGACGTATTTTCCATTACAATAGTATTAAAATACATTTAATATATTCATAAAGTACTTGGTTTCGTGTTACATTAAAACCCTGAATTTTACAGGTCAGTTAAATTTATAAATGTAAATATCCACTAGCCAAGGTGATGGTGAATGCTGTCATGTTTCAAATGTAATCATGTTTCAAAAGAACAGCTATTATATTTGTGTGTTCTTTCCTTTCTAACTGTGATAGTCATGATCCGTATTATTACTTTTGGTTGAATTATTATCATTTTAGCTCATCTAGTTTCTGATAAGATAATTTCTAACTGTTGTGCATTAATGGCTTGAAGTTTACAGAGTGAAAAACAACCAGTTCTCCTTCTGAAATTTAGACTGTTCCAGGTATTTTTGCCAGTAATGTTGGTCAATTCTCCCCCAGTTTAGCTTTCTGTTCATTGCTGAAGGTTATTTTGTAATGTATAGTGCGTGTAATTTGTATCCATAATGTTGGTGCCAATAGGCATGCCTTAACTTTTCAACAGGTATCAGATGATATGCTAGTATTTATTTGACTGCCAACTGGAAGAGACTTCAAGGCACTAGAATGTCATGCAGCTATCTTAAATGCAGTGTTTTGAGATGGGCAGAATGAATGATTGGTTACACCCATTCCAGGTGGAAGCTTTGTATTACCTAAGTAGCTGAAACCTATGGCCAAAAAACTGTATTAGGAGCCCGTCACACCCTTGATATTAGTGATAAACTGAAACCCCCAGCCCGGGAGCATTCCTTTTATAACTTGAGCCATTTATGCAGCATGCATTATTTGCAAGAATATGAATTAAATACTAACCTCTACTTTCATTTTCACCTGAGAAACATTCTACAAGACAGTTCAGATTGTCCAACCCAGAACCCCATAGTAGACTATTAGATCCCTTTGTATTTGGAGAGTTTGCTAAATAAACCAGACTCTAGCTGTCAAGTGCAGTCATTTCTATAGGAAATTCTGTTGGTGATTTAATTGCACTTCAGTGAACCAGCCAGTTTCTTGCCTGGCAACTATGTTGACTTATTTGTACTGGGCAAGAAATATGTATATCTACTGGATAGCCATGTCTTTTTAGAGTGTAAATGTTAATTGAAGAGGCTGGGGCATAGGGCAGCTGACACTTGACTTTGCCTTCTTTAGTCCATCTGAAGCTTTGATCAAGCTACATCTTCCTCTGTTGCTGGTCCCCAGAGACACACTCAGGGTCATGGCCTGCAGCCTAGTCAAGAGGCATTAGCCTACTGGCTTAAATATTTGAAGCTCTTAGGTTAGCAGGGGGCCTTCACTTCATGCACTCCACATTTCCCATATAACCCAAAGCAGACTAAACAAAAGTGGTGTGAAATCCAATGGCTGGATGCAGCTAAAGTAATATGTTGAAACTGTCCTCCATTCATTTAATACTGTGTGTTTGTTTCCTGGATTTACACCCTTTTTGGTCTTTGGGATCATGGAAACCTTTGAAAAAGGGATTGCAGAGCAGTGGCCTGTGATTAAAACCTAGTGTTTTTCTCCATGCTGCTCTTGTGCAGCAGTGTCACACATGGTAGCATTTAGGAGCCCCTTCACAGCTGAAGTGTTTCAAACACTAATGAATGGAAGCTTGGTCATATAATGCAGACAAGCTTTAAGGCATGCTTTACTGAATGGTGTACTGTAGTGGCCTGGGAAAGGAAGAGAGTTATAAATTGTGTCAGCTAGCAGCCCAGACAAAATGAAGCCATGTGGAAAATCAAATCTATTTAACTATGAAACTGTTGCAGCCATTTTAAGGTGGTCATCTTTGGCAGTTCTCAGTTTATGAGGTGACAAATGTTAAACCACATAATACAGTCTTTTGCTTTACTTTTTTTTAGGAGCAAATAAAAGTAAAGTACTTAGCTGTTTTGGAAACATGGTTATTTTAGGGCGGGTGGAGGGGCTTGGGTAAATGTTGAGTGCTTGCTAGATTTAATGTTGCAAATATTTGATAAATGTATTCAATAATTTATAATGTCCAGTTATATGAATACCTATTTTCAGCAAAAATTGAAGGCTTTTAAGCTGGACAGACGTGGTGATGACATCAGTTGTAGAAAATTTATTGTGGTTTAACTGGAATTTAATCAATGCACTTTCTCTCATGTCTGTGGTTAAGCATGTCCAGTTTTAGGCCTCCCGAAATACACAGCAATTAAAAAAAACAACAGCATTATTTGTCGAACTAGTCATTGTGGAAAGGGAGGGCATGACAATATTATTTGAAGAAGCTGTCTGACATAATACAAATTTGTTTTTGTTTGCAGGAAGAGGGTGAAGGGACATCCTCACAAGAATCCACGGAGGAAGATTAAGAAACCACACTATTTTACTTCTACCTCATTCAGCAGTTGGGTCTTTTGAAGGGAGAAGACACTACCTTGACCACTTTTTTTTTTCCCAGTTAACATTGGTCTGTCCACTTTATTCTGGGGAGAAACGCATCCTCTGAAAGACTTTTTACTATCCACCTTTTTGTAATCCCTTCACAGTCCCAGGTTTAATGATGATAAAAACTGCTGTAACACAGGGGACACAGATTATTGATACAACGTTTAATTACCATTTTTCTTTTTTAATTCTTAACATACTTATAGTTTATTGAGCTGCTAAGTAAGGGTGAGTGGGTCAAAAAAGAGAGTTTTATTTTTCACTGCAATGCACAAAATAATGCAAGAGGAAAACATCAGATACATTGCACATAATATGGGCATTTTATGAGAAGCAGCTTTTCTGTTTAAAAATGAATGAGCTTTAACAGCACCAACACCCACCCCTTGACTTAGTATACAGCCTGGATAGAACACCAAAGATGAGGGCTAGGCACTGCTCTTCTAGAAACCTTTTAGTAGACTTCTTCTTTTTTGTTAAATTGATTTTCACTTACTCTTAATTTCAAGAAGACTCCTAGGGCTGATTTTTTTTTAAAATATATATTTAATTCTGCTGTTAACTCAACACCTAAAAAAATATATTCATTAACTGAAGGGAAGGATGAAAGATTGACATTTTATTTTACAGGTCCGTAGGGATACAAACAGAAATCAAGAAATTCCACTTCAGTGTAAGTCACTGAAACTTGGAAAGGGAACTGATTTTCCTCATCAGTCAGCCAATAAGAACCACATATAAAGGTGACTTCACCTCTGATGCACTGCCATGTGGATGGATCGAGCAAACTCATTTCTTGATTTTTGGGAACACACGCTGTGTAACTGATCTTCAAATCATTCCTCCTCCATCCAATCAATCCATATGAATACTCAGTTAAACCAGCACTTTTAGTGACAGTTGCAATATTACCCCATTATCTGTAACTACCTCTGATTAAATCAATTAGTTTGACAGTCTCTCGGGTGCATGCTGCTATACACATACAATGCAGGATAATTTTTTTCGGTTGAATGGACGGTTAAACACTGATACCTGAATTTAGTTTAAATTCATTTTACTTTTTACAGTCTAAATATTGAAAGAGGAGACAAGAATACCTGATAGCATTTCTATATTGCCATATAATTGAATTTTACAAGTTATTCAATCCCAGTTTGTACAACTCATTTTCTGTACATACTTTTAACTTGAATGCAATTTTCTTTTTTACTGAATTACTCAATGATTTTAACAGATTTTTTCTTATGTTACAATTAATAACGTGGAAATGTTTCTATTGCTTTGACTTTTCATTTTTGTCAGTAATGTTTGAAATTTAACTGTCCAGGTTTGTACCTCAAATGAATTCAAGGAAAATGGATTAATCAATTGACCAAAACCTACCTCCTGACATTAAAAAAGAAATGAACTTGTTACTATCAACATCACTTTTAAAATATTATTAAAATTTTAGGACTGCAACTAATCCCTAATCAAAGTATTTTTGTAAAAAAAAAACGAAAAAAAAAACCTTGGATACAAAAGCATTTTAAATTACTTTCTATTCTGAAACCTTCAAAGCAAACTTGAAGCTTTGTAAGTAGGAAGCAACAAGCTCAGTTTTTTGTATAATTCAATCAAGAATAAGTGTTTAAATTAGTAGATTGTAAGAAACATACTTGATTCATATTTTCATGTATTTTACACAAATGTGATTTTTCTCTTTTTCATTTTGTAATGTTTCAACCAGATGTATTTTTAAAATGCTTCTTATGTAGAGTTTTATCTTGCTTTCTGCTTGTCAATATTGCTACTTTTAACATTTATTAGGCCAGGGAGATGGGGAGGGTGTAGTTTCTCAGGAGAATCTCTGACAGTAAGGCTTTAGTGTTGAGCCAAAGTACAACCAAAGCTGATTCCTTCTGGCTTCCATCAGAATTTGTAAAACCTTGACATACTCTCAGCTGCCTCTTCAGACAATATGGTGCATATCCATCTGTACATTGAAAGCTGAGGTACTAACCAGTTGCATTTTTGCCAAATTTGCTTTTTCAATTGTATCTTCCAACAAAGACTGCCTTATGTTTTATTTTTAAAAAAATACATATTGTGATTTGTTTAAAATATCATTCCATGAATTTTGATTTAAGAGAACCTTCTGAAATTTGTTTTGGTCTAATGCATGTTAAGGAAGCCTTTGGTTACTTGTTGGACATTTCACTTTGCAAAGCCTCTCAAATGATGATGTTTATCATGTATTTCTCTGTACGTTGAACAATCAATTACACACTACTACCTCTTGGGGCCTACTGTTACCTCAATTTCAAGCTGAAAACCTGTTCAATTGTTTATGGCCAGTAGACCAGAGTGAGCATCATAAATTTTTTTATACATAGTTTATTTTTTTGGGAGATAAATTTTATATGACTGTTCTCTCCTGACTGGTCACCTCAAAATAAGACTGGACATTTAACTATTCCGCTATTTTACAAATTGTAGTCTTGGTTTGCAGGGAGAGTCGGAAAACGTAAGACGACAAATCCTACTCTCCGTGTACCATGAATGTCTAACTTTATTGCTTTGCTATTCACTTAGCGAAACTGTCTGATTGTACTTGGAAATGCTTGCTTGCTGAAAAGGTTCCTTTCATGGATTATCACTGTCTGTTCAGCACAAATAAATGTAAGAACCTCTGTGATCCCCATGTTGATTCTTAGACTTTGTCATTTTAATACTGGCAAAACAATTTGGCTGTGTGAACAAAATCTCTGAGCCCTCTACCTTAGTGTTTTCTTCTCAGACTAGTGGAAGTAGCACTTACAACATGTTTTAAACTGAAATGAGTCCTGTGTATTTAAAGATTTTGAACATAATCTCCCTTAGTTTCATGAACTCAAGACTCAATCAGTGTTACAGTACATTAAGGCTGATTTATAGTCGGAGCTATCAGTAAATGATTCAATGTAACAAAATTTTAATCTTTTACAAGGGGAGGTTACAATAAAAATGTATATACTATCTTACATATTAAAGAACTCATATTCATGTTACTTCATATATTAAAGCATTGGCATGTGGTTAGGAAGTCTGTTAAATGTAAAGCTGCCATCTTAAAATGGAGAATGGATGGAAAAATAAGGCAATCTTCTCACTCCTGATCACTGTTAAACGTGCAGACATTAGGTGTTGCATGAGGAGAGGATCACATTCAACTGCGGTGCCTTGGCAGTCAAATTGCCAGTCCACATTCACTGCTGAGTTTCTAACATTGTGACAGATCAGATCCCGGATCTGGATTGATAGATTCCAGAATGCTTTGATTTGGCTTTAGCAATAAAAAAAGGCTTTCACAAAAGAAATGAAGATTAAATAAAATAAAGCCGAACTGATTATAGTTTAGAGATTTTGAAACATTGTAAAATCTAATCCATTTATCTCAAAGGATGTACAGTACTCATTAGAGGGAATCCCTTTTGTTTATACCTCGATAGATTTAACTGTGACTTCAACTTGCATTCTAGAAAATCTGATGGCCTTTTGATGGTGTTTTCATACACCTGAGTTTAAATATTCTCAGCTTCAGGTAACCTCTTCAGGCTGTTATTCACGCGCTTCTAGTCTAGAGCTACTACTAACACTGTGCTGTAAGGTAATCTATTTTAACTATGTTCTCCCTTTCTCAGGAGCACTGCTTTAGACATCTGTCTTCATCCAAGGACTTCTGCAGAATGACCCCAAACTGAAACTAAAGAAAATGCCTTACTTTGCAGCTGTGGCTGTTTCCCTGAGCTTAAAAAGAACCAAGTCTGGAAATTTCTAAGAGAAACCCTGATGCACTGTTGTTTACCTTGCTCAGCCATAAACACTCCTGATGAACACACAAACTCCTTTGTTCTGGAAACTACCTCCCAATCAAGTTAAAGAGTCACAGCATGGAAACAGACCCTTCGGTTCAACTTGGTCATGCCAACCAGATTTCCTAAACTGATCTAGTCTCATTTGCCAGTATTTGGCCCATATCCCTCTAAACCCTTCCTATCCATGTGCCAATCCAGATGCCTTTTAAATGCAGCATGGCTGCAGAGGTACTCCCAAGTTAATTATTACGCCCCTCATACACACACAAAAACTCTCACATCGTTAATTCAAAATTCAGCTATCTAGACATAAGAATAAATTATATTAAAATATGTACAAATCTCACATCCTGCAACACAACCTGAAGAAGTGCTTCTGAAGGAGGTTGTTATCCTAACAAGGAGTCAAAATGTTTCAAAGGAGAAAGTTTTAAACAAAAAATGAATGATTAATTTGAAGGGTACATATTTGCTGAATGTTAGTTCCATTGTCCTATCTTGACATGGGAATCTGGAAGTGGATATGGTGGGACCCTGGAGATTTTTAAAATGGTGAGGTAAGTGCTACCAGTATAGGTGTAGGGAATGCAAAGGTGCTTCAAGATGGAACTTCCCTCTGAAAACTTGTACATAGAGCAAATTATACTGTGGATACAGCAGTCAGCCATCATAGTGGAAGGGGTGCCTCCCCATTGGATGTCCTATGCTGCAGCTATGATCACCGCAATGCACTGGATCCATGTTCTTCGGGATACAGCTCTGACATATCTGTCCTGTTCCAACCCAGGCTGCCTCTAGCATTCCACTATTCTGTTTTGTGTGTGTGTGGGAGGGAAAGGTTGTAGTGGCAGAAACATACTGGATGACCAGCAGACCATCCAATAATGAGAAATTGCCAATGCGGCCAACTTCATCTCAGGGTTGCGGGTTGGTGTTTTCTAGATTCCCTTCATGCAGTTTCAATGTCACTTACCATTGCATGGCTGAGGGGCTTTACAACATGCTGGTTCTCTTGGTTTGACAAATGCTACAGCATATGCATGTTGCTTAGGGAGCTTGTATACATTTTCTGTCTGTCTGTTAGTAGTAAAAGCTCAGTCTTCCACTTGATGCCACAGCCAAGATGAAGGATCCATCCAGTACAATGCAAATACCCTGAATCATCAAATCTGAATGGTGCACCATGTTCTTCTGTTATTTAGGGTTTTAATATGTTCCATTTAATTAATTTTTGTTTTCTACAAGTTTGCTGCATTTTGTAATAATGAAATGAATTGCCTGCAAATGGAGTCATGCAAATTGTTAGATTTTCTGATTTGCATCCAAGTCTTCCACTAGTTTAGCTTTTTGCTTTCAGTCCTACAATAAGGTACATTACAGTACAATACAACAGTAATTGTTTTGAAAATCCACTTTGATCTAATTGCTACAAAGAAAAGTTGGGGAATTTTTATTTTATACCAAATAACTGGCATATTTAAGTCACACATGAAAAGATCAATGATACGATGTAAAAATCATTGTTGTTTTAATCTCACATCTAAGGTTTTAAGAACAAGATGTGACTGTTGCACTCAATTATGCACGAACATCAGTGTTATACTTTAAAAATATATTCCAAAGAGAAGGTAAGGGAATCTTTTTCTGTTGCTGTCTTCTGACTTTGGAGAAGCATTTGAGTTTTACAAGCAGCTGTCAATCCAGGGAGAAATTGCCCCAGCAATTAGCCTCAAATCAACCACAGGATGTGTCTATTTACATCAATGTGACCTTGGGGCTTAAAAGAACAGGAGGTGACACACAGCTCATTAACAGCAGAACAATATATTGCACAAGCAAGGTTGTGATGCTACTTATATATTCCTGTCTCCTTGGACCTCCTGTGAGGAGTACCATGGATGTTGTGTCAGTAATATTTTTACTAATTCCCAAGTTGTTAAAAATACTTTGCTTCCGTCAATTTAACCTTAACAGTCAATCCCCTCTAGTTTAATCAGTATGTTTCAGATTATTCAATGCTGCTTCTTATCATATGCAATGTACAAAAGCCGGATACTTCATATTGAAAATATTGACCCTCGGCAGATTTCAGGTTGGGAATGTGGAAAGCTGCTTGAGTATGCCCTTTGCTGTGTTCCCAACTTCCCCCAGTAAGTCAGTTTCCATAAGTTGGTGAGTACTTGCTGAAGACATGTAAATGGTGGAAGCACCAACTCAGCAGTTTGCAGTGCAGGAATACTGAAACACAAGGAGTTGTTTGTTAGGCCCCATCATCATCAGAGACAGAATGATTGAGCACTTGAACAAACATTGGTTGATTAAAGAGTTCTCATGGATTTGTGAAGGCTGGATCATGTCTGACTAATCAAGTTGCATTTTGTTTAAAGCGGGTCACTGGCATTGTTTATAGGGGAATGTGCATGAACGGTGTTGATGCTGACCTCCAGAAGCACAGCTTTGTAGTTAACCTTGTGACAGGACTCAGCAATTTGATAGGAGGTGGAAGACAGTTGAGAATAAAGGGAATATTCTCTGAATGGCATTATGTGCCAAGTTAGACCCTCTGATGGGGCATCAATGTCTTGGATGGAAGAAGAGAATTTTCAGATGACAATAAATTGCATAGATAGTAACTGGAAGTTTCAAGAGAGCATAAACTGGCTTATGGTGAAACTGGCGGAGGGAATTCAGTTGGGCATCCACCTTGAGTCAGTTGAATTGGATGGTGCTATTAGAAGTTATGGCAAGCAACGGGAGGTCCATGTAGAGACACGCTGAAAGCTAAAGCACAGCTATGAGAAGACGTCAAATTTCTATTTCTGTTTCAGATTTCCAGCATCAGAGTTTTTTTTTGTTTAATGGGATGGTTTTCTTTATTTCAAGAAGGTCAAAATTAAAGGATGAGGAAATGATAGTGCAGAACTTTTGACTCCAATTTTGAGTATTTTGTTACGTTATGGGCATCAAAAGCCTGAAAATATATAGTGACCTTGGAGTAGATATAATGCAAATTCACCAGAATTTATTTGGCACTGAGAGTTACGTTATGTGGACATGTTGCATAAACTTAGTTTGTACTGTCAAAGAGTAAAAGGATGATCTAGTCAAAATGTTCTACATGATAAGGGTTAGGTTAGGTATACAGAAACATTTCATCTGATAGGAGAATACAATATAAGAGGGTATAACCTTCAAAATAGAGCTGGAGAATGAAACCAGAATGAAGTATTTTGTGCAAAAACTGATAGGTATCTGAAATACTGAGAGTGCTGAGACTGTTGAAACTTCAAGGGCAGAAACAATAGTTTTTTTGGCAGTATGGAATCAAGGGTGTGAAAATAGGTGAGAAAGTGAAATTACAGAAGGTAGTACATAAGGAATATAGTAAGTTGTATAAAGGTGACAGCTGGAGACTGCCTATATCTGGGAATTTGATAAATGAGGCAATTTGGTGCTGTGAGGAACTGTTGTCTGGCCTTTTACAAAGAAAGAAATAGTCCAAATGGTAGAGACAGACCTGACAGCTGAACTCTTGAAGTGTTAATTAGTTGTTCAAGCAGGCGATTGATTAGTTTCCAGTTTTCAACCACTCTCCCATCTGATTGAAATTTGTGTTGGAGAGGTGAAAGTGTTATATTCATTTTGTGTTATAACTGGGTAAACACTATAATACAGTTATGATAATCATTGAGCGAGATTCCAAACTGTTGGATCCAATTAGATAATAGAATCAAAATGATTTGCAGCAGAATCATGTGGGAGCCAGTGGATATCTCCCTGATTCACAGCAACCACATCTGCATTAAGTGTCTTATGTGATATAGACTGTTTTCTAACTTTG